GCCTGGCCTCAACTGCATATGAAAAAAATAATATATTTTCGATAAGTCACGTGGTTTGGCCGCCATCTTGCATTTTGTGAAAATTGAAATTATGCAACTACATGTTTTGTATTAGTCCGATTGGAATAAAATTTTGTATGTGTATTCTACTCTTTAGATACATTCTTTCCCCTGAATGGCATATGGCTAGGTCATGTGGCTACACGCCCATGGGGTGGGGGCTTCTAACCTCATTAATATGCATAGCTGCTATATCTCAAGCACTGTTGCAGTTAGGAAGATGATTCCTGTGTTATCATGACAACAGTGAACCTTAGATTTGATTAAAATAACATATGACCATATATGGTCATGTGAACTCATTAATATGCATAAATGTTATATCTCAAGCACTGTTGCAGGTAGGAAGATGAAACCTGTGTTATTATGATGATGTTAAACAAGAGATTTGAATAAAATAACAGATGACCATATATGGTCATGTGAGCTCATTAATATGCATAATCGTTGTATCTCAAACACTGTTGCAGTTAGGAAGATGAATCATGACTATGTTGAACAAGAGATTTGATTAAAATAACAGATGACCATATATTAATAACCTTTATATCTCAAATAAATATATGGAACCAACTGCATTTCGACCTCATGGTACTAATCATTCAAACTAATTGTGTATCATTTGACATTATTTATGGCATATACTTGGGCCCCTGTGATGCTGCTTGCAGCTTTAATTTCAAATTCTGATTCAAAATGAATAATTTTAGTGTTGTTCACTGTTGAAGAAATGGTGTTCTGTCATGTCACAATATGATTTATTGTGACCGGAATAACATGAATATATTTCATGCATACTAACTTAGGGTTGTATGTTCTCATACTGGTATATGCAGAATATAATTTTAACTATAATATATAATCATATATTAAAACCAAAATATTTTCTATATAGTCAATTAATAAAGGTAAATCATAAGAGCAGTCTCATTTGTATTTTTATAATATGATAATTGTAAATAATTGAAAAAGTTTATACACATTTATGATATTGGAATATTATTAGTATCTAGATACATTTTATATATTCCTGAAATGATGTTCTGAAATTATTATAATTGTATACTCATACTATGTAATCAGGGTATAGACCTTAAAATTATGCAAACATGTCTAATCATGTTTTATTGTTAATCTGTATCATATGCTCTATTACAAGCACATCTTTAATAGAAGCTCACTCAAACCGAAAAGTGGAATTTATTTTATGCCGGATCATTAAATATGACATTATTATCATAGTCATATCTCCATCATTTAAGTACACACACACACGCTGCTATAAAGCAAATGTGGTTAGGCCTCATTAATAAATTTAAATGGCGCTACATTCACCACATCACATTGTGTTCAGTAGGACCCATAAGAACATAGGACATTCATTGTTT